ATCAATCACTGGAGTTTTGGAACAATGAAATTATAAATACAAGTAAACTGGCTTCGACGGTACCGTACTTATCTAATCCAACCCTTTGGTCCTCCCCAAGTACCCTTCACCATATATTTTCCATAAACCCATGGGAAGAAATCTTTCTTTAAATAATAAAACTCCCTTCGGGGAATGGCTTGATCAATGCCGAGCCATTTATTGAATGTCTCTTTCGGTACTCCACCGTACTTAAACTCTGCAAGTAGTACCTTTCCATACTCAGTTAAAAGTGGGCATGATGTATAACCATCATAAACCTCTTCCGGTTCTTTGCCATCAATAGCCAAGAGCAGGTTACGAGCCAGAACGGGCGCCTCTGCAGTAATCGCCGCAATTGTTTTCGAGGTTGGTAAACTTGAAGCATCACCAGCAGACCAGACATTCTGGTACTTCACATGGCGCGTAGTTCCCTCGTCAACGTTGACATAACCAGCATCATTTGCAAGTACACTGTTCTTAACAAAGTCATGGGGTCGGTTTTTTGGTGCCACGTGCAAAAGATCAAACTCCCTCTTAACCTGACCTTGTCCATCCGTACGAGTAAAAGTCGCCACATTGCCATCGATGGCAGTGAGGTCGTGCTGAAATAACCCTTCAACCGACCTTTCTTTTCTCAATTCCTCCAGCTTGGCACTATATTTAGGTACACCAAACATTGTTGGTAGACCGGTTGCGAAAGTGATGTTTATCGCCGAACCAGAGGGATTTTTAACATCGTATAAACCTGCACGTTTCCAATGATCCAATGCAAGCCACATAATCTTCTGTGGTGCACCAGCACATTTGATAACGCCGGTTGGTTGGGTGAAAATTGCTTTTCCCCTTTGAAGTTTTTTTTTATTGTACCAAAGACCTTGTCACAATGATCATAGTTGTATATGGAGGACACAAGAGAGTCTGGGTTGTCAAGAGCCTCGGACAACCCCTTCACGCTTCCAACGTCAACCGTGATGCCTGGAGCGACAACGAGTTGCTCGTAATTGACTTTATCTCCATTTTTCAAAGTGAGAGAGTTATCATCTGGAGAAAACCCATTCACGCAAGTATTATAAAATCTAAGTTTCGGGTCAATCAAATCTTTCAGAGGTTTTCTGAGACTCTCCTTTGTCTTGAGTCCAGCTCCAACAAGAGTCCACCCGGGCTGATAGTGGTGCCACGTGGCAGGGTCGATGACAGCAATATCATCTTGATGGAAGTTCCCTTGCCTTAGAAGCTGATGACTGATGCAAAGACCGGCAGAGCCGCCGCCCACTACAACAATCTTGTGGTTTCTATTGTGACCAACTACGGGTGATACGGTCGCAAAACTTCGGACAGTCCGGACAAGTTGTGCCCGGGCGATAGAACGTTTAGGCATTGACGTTGCCATTATAACGTTGCCGTAAGATCCGTTAGAGCCCCAAATAGAAATTCGAAAGTGGCACCTTATGGTTAAGACAAGATATGATCTTGTGGTCGAATTCGCTGAAAGGAATTTTTGGTAAGGTTACGGAGAACTGATTATTCAACATTATTAGTCATCATACGATCACGCCATCGTGACAACTCCTTCATTAGCTTGTGAATAACTATGAATAATTCCAAGCCCGCCTTTGTTTAAGACAGAGTTTCTAGCTTGTCTCTAAAATTTCAAATGAGTGTAATCATTTACATTAAAAGCTACTCATAGAAAAGAAGTTATTCTATTGCCACAAGAGGATTTACCATCTGACAGATGATGTAAAGTTTCAATTGGTTAACATTTGACTATTTGTGGGAGATGGTATAATCTTTATCGTTTTCCGGGAAATTCAATATTCCTGTTAAACCCTTGCAATTACAGCTTCATAGCTTCCAATGAAAACAAAGCTTGCTTAACGAATAAAAAGTTACTTTCGAGTTGTTCTTTTGTTCCATGTAACGTGCAAACCCGTCTCGCCTACTCCATGGCGTCTGAGCCAACGTACCAACAAAGAACAAGAAACTGTTAGTATTAGCTTCATGACCAACTTAGCTGGATAAAAAGCTGCAACTTACCTGTGTTCTAATATCACAATCCGCTTAGTCAAGCCATTGCCTCCTACCGTCGCTTTGTCGTTGATAGGACCAGAAAAATCTCATAGAGCTTACGCAACATCATTTTGTCCTAGTAATAGAGACAGATAACAATTTGCTTTGATCGAGGGGCACGTCAAGCTAGTCCACCATGCTTGAGTTGGATGGCTGTATTTCACCAGACCATACGAGAAGAGTTTGACAAAGGATATTCTGGAAATCGGGAGCTTAAATTGACTGCGGACAGAAAAGCAATGCTACAAATATAAATTGGATATAAATGAGATCTAATAACTTACAGCGTCTGATACGAAGTGATTCTAATTGTGCTGGATCGTTTGACCTACCTCTTTGCACCGCCAGGCCATTATGTAATCTTCACTGAATATGGATTGGAAAGGAGTGAGCACCAGTTTGATGAATAAGCACTCACGATCCAGCTAGGAAAAATGTCCTTGGAGAAGGTAAGATGAATCAATCAATCATCACGGGTCTATAACAGAGATGAAGTCAGGATTCTTCACCAAGTGTCTTCTGGTTTATGTTGGTATAAGCAATTCCAAAATCCACAGTACAAAGAACTCTATTTTGTTTAACTTCTCTTGAGGCTAAACAAGAGAACATTTGGGGAAGTGACTTTCCTACCTAATTTTTTATTAAAAACAGGATTTGTGGCAGCCACTAAGCAACTCAACAGTGGTAGGAAGAGCATCCGTGAGGCCTCTTGGTTATCTTCTGTGTATTTCAAAAATCACCATTTGGATCTAGTGACTTTTAAAGCTCTCGTACACAGCTACAATGCTTTTCAATTTCAACCATAAGAGGTGTAACAAGATAACCATAATAACATGAAGCTCAACAAAAAGTTTCCAAGATCATGTGCAGTGAAGACACAAACCTTGTCCCACAAGCACCAATTTCTCTGGAAAGATACTATTGCTGACTGGGGATATGATTTCGCACCGAAGATAAAAAATGAATATCACTATGTCGGGCAGATTTCATCAGGGTCTGCTTCGGCGTTTACAAATCTTGCATGCAATTTCAATCACATACAACAAATGCAAACAATTCTCTACAGTGGCACCACAATCATTCCATGAGAATCATCTGCTCCATACTCTGTCTGCGTTCAGCCCCGTAGGAAAATGCGTATCCCTTCCCGGCGACAAAGCAACCTTGCCTTCTGCGATTCCCACAAGGCGGTTGTTGGGCGGGAAGGATTGCAACGGCTTAGGCACCAACAGCGTTTATGCCTACCAGAACGACCTTACAAGATACCTCAGCGACTTCGTAAAAATCGCACGCATATCGTTGAAATAAGATCTACCATCGGCACTATTCCGTTGTAACAATTCGTCCATCCTCAATTGATATTTTATGTGCAGATAGAAGGGTAATGATGGAATTATTTCGGCGTAGTTGCAACTGCAGACACTTCCGAAAGCTAGTCCTACTAGGCAAAATCGCATTATTGAGATGGCCCTTTTGATACCCCAATCACTAGCAGACGGATTCGTATCGCAGAATCTGAGCTTTTTTCTCCATTATTAAAATATATTTGTATGACCAGGGCGTGGCTATTCCAAAATGTCTACATCGTGGATGTAAAAAATCGTAACGTTGGAAATGGATCGATATTGAGGGGAGGATGACAATGCAGATCTTGTATTTCGTTGCCTTGCCGTGGAAAACAGACCTTCAGTAAGGAACTGCCATATGGCATATCGAAGAATGCGGTGAACACATGGCGCTACGCAGATATGGTTGGCACCTCAATCGTACGGGGCATAGATTTGGAGGATTTTATGTGTACGTCAAAAAAAGGCACTGTTCCTTGGCGTCGGAGCAATGATTAAGCGACCGACCACTGCCACTCAACTCCACACTCCAACCACAGTACGCGCCAATGAAGTAAATTTTCCTTTGTTCCTCATATCATTGTACCATGTTGTTGCACCAAGCAGGCTAGGGCCCGAAGCGCAGAATTCTCTTCGATTTTGTATTTTGCTGAACATACTCACACTATCGTCGCACTCGAACGTATCAAGTCAAGCATCTGCGACCAAGCGTGCGGCGATATATCGAAGACGAACACAATAGAATGAGCACGGCAGATCAGACCATACTCTTGGAAGTTCATTTTTTCCATCCGTTGTTTTAATGGAGAAATGAGATGATATGGCATAGTGCATAAGAACTGTTTCGGCGTACTTATTGAAAGATAACTTGACAAGAGTAAGGGCGACATTTCGGGTCGTTCTACGCTTGGTGTAATGTAAGATCTTATCTTCTCATGCGTTCTTCATTCCACTCTAATTAATACCAGCATAGTACGCTGCACATGAAATCTTCTTGGACATCAGTTCCCTCCATGTGCAATTCAAGATCCAAGACAATACGTCTTACTACCAAAATGCTGTTGCAAAACTTCTTCAAAGTCCCTTTCAGGATTTTCTCCATATTTGTCATTTTGCTCTTACTCCATCCTACCTAATGAAGTCGAATGCACAAGAAAATTGAAAGCTGTGATTGGTCCACATATACTTATTTTGTTGTGAATAGAAGCTTTGCAGGCCATATCTCGAGGCTTTGTTACCGGTACCTGCCTTCTACAATTACTGAGGTCTTTATGTGCAATACCCCATTTTCAAAATGGGCGGAAGGATTCTCGTCGCTCGTACTGTTATTAATCATAGTATTATAGTGTGGCTAGAAGAGTCTTTTGGTTATAGTTTTATTTATAGAAATCCTTCAAAATTTCAATCCACTTATTCAGGGAGAGACAGGAGAATAAATGATGCTCATTTCCTGTGCCACAAAAAGCATCAGCATTTTAACGGCGCCAAACTTAACATGGTCCATGTTGAACAAAGATTGACACACGTCGTGGGGATAAAACTGGGCCAACCTCGTGAAGTTTGACGCAAGTGCCTAAGCCAGAAAAGGAATGAAGACGGTACCGATAGAATTTGTGGACTATGCAAATTGCCAATCATCACATCGAAATTTCCATGATATGCGCCTAGTGATCATGGATCGGTCCCTTTCGAGCATTGCCTCCATCCATAGAGCTTGTGATGGATTGCTTAGCCTTCCCAAGTTCCACAACTCCTTTTATCATGGAGGATATTTCATCGTGCTGTCATATACGAAGGCAGGACCTAAGAACTGTAGACTTCTCCCAGTTCAGGCCCATCCCATTATTCCAAAGTAATCATGGAAACCAAAGATCATAGGATTTTAGAGACCCCTCTTTGTCCTGCTTTTGATGTTGATATCGAAAATGTCATGATGGGAAGCCCAAAAGAGTGTCCAAACCCAGGAATTTGCGTTTTCATGTCGAGTAATGGCGTCGGGGACTTCAGTTGGAAAAGATCAGTGTAAGTTTTTCTTGGAGTAACATTCATAACGTATTAGGGGTTTTACTTTGTCTTTGTGGAGGAAGATCTTAGAAATTGACGAGTCATCGTATGCCAGGTTTTGGATACTCTCCTCTTCGGTGTCAATATATGCAAGCAAACTGCTATTGCTAGAAAATGGATTTCGTAAGTCGAAGAGCAGCAAATGTACTTACTCAGGCTGATTTGAAGACAGATTACCGTACAGCAAAGCCCATAACCAAATTACGCAAATATTAATCATCATTTAGCTCTAACTTTCTCTACATCTTACTTCGGCCTCTGTTTATCTATCTTCACCATCGCGTCACACTATAAAGAAGGGACTGATGTCCAGTGTACTACGAAAGTCTTTCGGCCCCCACTCAATCATGGATTTGTATGATTCCGGCCTCATTTGCTTCTGCAGTTGCTTTGCCAATGTTCATGGAGGCACTCATACATATGTCAAGTCTTCCTGTTTTAGTCATGCTCTTTGTGAGTGACATCCTACAAAGTCATAAACATACCACTAACAAACCCCAGCCACTAATCTATCTATCAGAATATCTTACTCTTTTCATTTCCTTTTCATCAACACTTTCTGCAAGACGCTTATCCCTTGAAACAATTGGCATAACAATTTTCACGACTTTAGTCCTATACTATGAGTGTCGTCTCACGGTTACAGGAATTATTTTTAGCATTGGAGCTTTCATTGTGGCCGGATTTTCTAGAGCACTTTTCCTCATGGCATCTCAGAAACTGCATGATGACGAACATAAGATATCGTCATCCTACCATGGTTACATTTTAATGACCACAACTTTTGGCTTCCTCATAAGTGGCTCTTTAGCTTTTACTCATGAGACCAATTTACTGAATCACTATCTCGATTCAGGCACTGTGGTTTTGTTTTTTATCTCCTCCGCAAATTTGGTTGGAGCAACATTCGCTGGCAACAGTTTTCTTATCTACTCTCCAATATATTGTTCAGTTCGAAATAATTGGGATGCCAAGTTATCCCTTTCGCTTTCTAAGGTTATCGTTTCAGGAATCTCTAGCATTCTTATTCTTCTGATATCACTGATTTTTGGGCCCGTATCTGTGGTATCATGGGTTCAGTTTAGTGCCTACTTTCTGGCCATGTTATGTCTTATTGGAGTTTCTACAGTTCACAAATTCTTCGAAAAGGTGTTCGAATATCTTCAACGTCATGTTCTTTTCCGTCCATGTGACCAGGATCCAAGCCCCATGCCGAAGAAGAATTACGTGTCGGTTTTAAACATCTCGCTCACTGCCTCGGCTGTATTGTCTTTCTATGCATTATCCCTATCACAACTCCGTGGATTGTCACCAGGACCAGCTCCCTCTTTCGATAACTCATACACTCCGGAACCATCATCATTCGATATCGTGATAAGCGCGTACACAGAAACACCCGAGTCAATCGCACGCATGCTACACGCCATCAAATCAACATCATACTTATCTTCAATTGATCCCCGCGTTTTGATATACACCAAAGACCCCACTGTATCCTTATCCATGTTGAAGAATTCCACAGGCGTTGATATCGTTAAACGTCTACCCAATCTTGGTCGCGAAGGAGGGACGTATCTCAGTCATATTGTTAACGAATGGGACCATCTTGCGGCTCAAACCATGTTCATTCAAGCTCATGCTCATAATATTCGGGAGCTCATACCTCGAATCAACTCATACTTGGTGCCGCAAACAGGAATGTTGAGTCTCGGGTTTTCTGAAGCCACTTGCTCATGCAACAATTGTGGTGACAGGTTTGGATGGAAAGACGACTGGTCTGTGATCCCGAGTCTGTATGAACGTATTTACGACTCGAGTTGTTCCGATTCCACCACAGTTCTTTTATCATACAAGGGGCAATTTGTCGCATCAGCCAAACGGATTCGTGGAATTAGTCGAGGAAATATGAGGAGTTACTATCCACGATAACAAGTGAAAGTGGATGGAGTCATGATCCACGATTTGTGAACAAAAATGATTCCACTGACAATCCTTCGTTCGGATTTGCAGTCGAGAGAATATGGGGTCTGCTCATGCAATGTGCGACTGACGACCGAGTTTCAACAAAGTGTCCGTCTATGCTCAGCGGGATGATTAGAGGAAGTGATGTTGGGGATTGTCAGTGCTTGGATACAAAATAAATATTTATTGGTCACCCATTTAAAGAAAGATTGGTCTAATTGGTAATATCTGGAGTTTGGTGTAGGCACCTGTATATATTGTGGTTAATGGAATTTTCAATACAGATTCATAGCTTGAGATATTGTATGATAGTCAGTTGAAGATTTAAACTGTTAAAGCTGTTATAAATATATGATATCAATTGTTGTAGATTGTAAATGGAAGTATTATAAGTCTATTCTTATAAAAGTTTTATTTTTAAAAGATTTATTATTATTTATTTTAAATATTTTGATTTTAATTTCTAATTAATTGTCGGCTTACTGATATTATAATCTTGTTATACACGAGATTTACTTAATATAGATAATAGAAAATAAGAAACTCGTTTAAATGAACCACGATCCTGATAATCTAATTGGTATAAAATACCCTGGTAAATAATCCACTAAAAAGTTTGATACAAACCTTACAAATTTAAACAAATCTAACTTAGAACTTTTTTCAACTTTATTGAAATCATCAATCCAATTCACAACTCAAATCAAATCATTCAAATCATTCAAATCAATTTTATTCATTTAATTCAACTTTATTTATTTAATTCAACTTTATTCATTTAATTTAACTCTATTGAAATCATTTAGTTCTAAAATGATTCAATTCTATTAAAATCATTCAAATCATTTAATTTATTTAATTCAATTTTTTTCATTCAATTTATCTTATTCAATTCAAAATAATAATAATAATAATAATAATAATAATAATAATAATAATAATAATAATAATAATAATAATATAATAATATTAAATAGTATTATTATAAATATTATAAATATTATAAATAATATAAAATATTAATATTATTATAAATAATAATATTAAATTATATTATAATTATTATTTTTAAATAAAATAATTTAATTTTCAATTATTAAAAATAAGTCGATATTCTGTCTGCACCCTGATATATATTTAATATTTAATTTATTATAAACTTTTAAATCTTAAATTTTTACTAAACTTTCTCGAAAGCTGGGGGTCGGGGAGTGTAGGTCTTTGATTAATAAATTCAAATATTCAATCAAAATTAAATTATATTTATTATTCGTATAACAGTATTGATTTTTCTAATAAATTATAATAGGAAATCATAAAGGGAGTTAGAGTTATTTTTCAATATAAAGTAAATTTATAAAATAATAATGATTATATAAAATAAATATTCAAAATATCATTATTTAAAATATAATTTATATAATCTAATTAATATTATAAAGATTTTTTTAATAATCATCATTAATAATGATCACTTTTGATAAAGGGATAATGATTATATAAAAATATTTCTAATTACTACTTTCGAAAATTATAAAGATCAAAGATATTTTGATATTTAAATATATAATTTTATAAAGGATTTCAAAAAATTCAAATCTGAAATCAAAATTTAATTATCTTTAATATTAATAAAACGATATCATTTTGAAAAAAATAAATAAAGAATATATATAAAACTTGAATCTCATCAAAATAAATTCTTTTTTGTTTTGATTATTTTCATTACAAAATATTGATATTTTATTTTCAAATTATTTTCTGATTTTTATATATAATTTTATAAAGAATTTCAAATTGAATTCAAATCTGAAATCAAAATTCATTTATCTTCAATATTAATAAAATAAATAAACCTTAATTCTTTTTGAATGATTTTAATCTTATATTTATTATTCTTATCAAAATTATATATTCAATATAACTTTTAAATTCATTAATAACTTTTATAATATGAAAAATAAAATCTGAAAAATTTTATAATCTGAAATATCTTTTTAAAATGATTTATTACATTTAATAAAATATCAATATTTATCAGATTTATTCTAAATGATTATATATATATATCAAAATAAATATATAATTATATTTAAATATAACAAACTATTAATTTTTATATATATTAGTTTTTAAAATAAAAATAAAACTTAAAGTTATTTTATAATTTGATTTTAAAGATAATAAAAAGAAACAAAAGTATTCTAATCTAATTAATAATTCTTTATATATATAATATTCTAAATTAAGATTTATTTCAATTTTATATAGAACAATAAACAAATTAATAAAATTTAATTTTACTTGAATTCTATTTATATCTATATTTATATTTGCGGTTGCGGTTGCGGTTGCGGTTGCGGTTGCAGTTGCAGTTAGGGTTAGGGTTGCAGTTGCAGTTAGGGGTTAGGGTTAGGGTTAGGGTTAGGGTTAGGGTTAGGGTTAGGGTTAGGGTTAGGGTTAGGGTTAGGGTTAGGGTTAGGGTTAGGGTTAGGGTTAGGGTTAGAGG